TATAGTCGCATGTTGAAAGCAGGGGAAACACAAAACAGCCCATTTCGAAACTGCTTGAAATCCTTTAGTGCAGGCTTACTCTGCTCGGCGTGTGCAGTTAGTTGTATGTGTAATGAGTGTAAAGATAAAGATAACACTTGCTAGCATTTTGATCGCTTTATTGATTCTACTTTACTGCTTCGAAGTTCGAAGGTGAAACGAAATATGCCCAAAGTGAATACAACACGTGATATAACTAGCAACTTACCTGTGCGCAGGTTCCCGATTAGGGTGATATGGCCCGCAGCTAGCGACGCTGGGGGTCGACCCGAGAGGAAAAAAAAAAAAAACCAAGCCGAAACTATAGATCGCTGTCGCTACGCGACGCGATCAACAAGACTTTATATTATTTTAAGAAAGAACATGACTTCGTGTTTAGGAAAGAACAGGAAGAGTAGCCACTTAAGCCAGAACAGGATTCAAACGCCTACGCGCAATCTTCTTAACGTCTTATTTCTATACATTATTGGTGAAATTGGCGCAGAAATTGGTGATTATGGAGTTTCAACCTGAAAATCTAATCACGGGTTCACAATTGTGCATTTCCGTATCGCTATCGAAGAGAATTCCAATGAATAAAGTGAATAAACGCTCAATTTTTCTTCTGAAAATGCGCTCTACAATCTTTTGACAGATCATCATACACATCGGAGGCCTATGAAGTGGCCATTTTAAGGCTTTAAGGTGTATACATACACACACGATTATTAATTAAGATTTGTTTTTATAGTGTGTTTAAGCTTAAAATCTTCTGTGCAAGTTATATTTTGTTGAGAATTTACATTCCTTTTAGCGAAGTCTTACCAATTTCCGCGGTGTCCTTCGCTACAAGTAATAATTTATATTCATTATACTTTAAGAATTAAGGCATAACAAGTTTTCCGTTTTCAAATCACATCTACACGAACATCCAAAGCCAACAAAAGTGTTTGGTTACTCATAGGCTTTTTGGGGTGAGGAATGAATATTGGTTTTTAAAATATACCTTCCTTGCAGTTTGGTAACGAGTTAAATGACGCGAGCCATCATCAAAGACGCACGTCGGCATATAAAGCAAGGTCGCTTGAACAGCATAACTCAAATCATCACCATATTTATTGTTATTTGGTAATTCATTTCTAAAAGTGAGTTATAAACTTTAATTCGCTAGAGTATAAGGTACATTTCAGTTTGGGAAGAAAGGGACCATGTGAAATTTCAACAGTTTTGAACTAACTTGTCTTCCCTATTGTTATGATCACCCGTAATGATCAGTCATAATATTTAAGCATATTGCATATTCGAAGTATAAATATTAAAGCCCAACATAGTGCTTTCAGTAAAGCCATAAGAGACAATCAAACCATTTGAGAATAATAAAAATATATTTGGTAGTAACGTTTCGTCTTAACTTAAGAAATCTTCAGACTAAATGATAAATTACATGATAATTTGAATTTGAATACGAAGTAAGGACTAAAATAAATTGAGAGGGATAGAGTTGCCTTGAACACTAAGAGAAGGCTTAAGTTTGGTGATGAGGAGACTCTCATGTATCATTAGCTCATATGAGTCATATTGCATATGGGCACATTTCGGTTTAACATAATCATTAACCTCGCGCGCCTCTCGTTTTAGCCTCTCGTTTTAGGTTTTGTTTTGTTTTTTAATTTTTTTTTCGTTTTTTTTTTTTTTTTTATTATTTTTTTTTTTATTATTTTCCGTGTTTTGGCGCGGAATAAACTAGTATTTGAAATATGTATGTGACCGTATTTATCTACGTCACAGTTCTATCTCCTAAGAGTTGTGGTGCACAGCTCGAAATCTAATTTTCCGATGCGCGATTAAATTTCGCTCGCATGATACGGAAATTCCTCCAAGAGGAACATATAAACCGTTCTTTTCATGCTGCTCGATTAATTGGGGTAGGAATATATTTAATACGTACAGATTCTGGTCCTATTTTAATAATATCGCTGCTTTAACAGGATGTTAACAAGACGTGGTCGTGTATGGGCGCCTTGACACGTCACAGTTTGCTCAGGATTGGAGATTTAATATAAGCACGAATTCCAAAGTGTAAGACAAAGTGAACATATCATGCGGTTTCTTTACATTTTTGAACAATTGAACTTCTATATTTTTAAAGTATGATGTGCTTCTGAATGTCGCGATCGAACACCATTTAGGTTCGCAAGGCATGTAAATGAATATGAACTGTATTGTTTATGTTCAGAAGCTTTATATTGAAGACTGGCACGTGCGCAGCACGCCGGAGTTAACACCAGAACAGCCGTCTTGTTTTTGGTTTAAATTGGACAAAGCAAATTACATGGTATAGTCTGGCGATCTCTGAGCACTACAAGAAAGTCTTCTATGACAATTTTTTATGTCACAAATTTTAATAGATCTTTTGGGTAATTACGTCACAACATTATCGTTTTCAATTTAGAACCACCTTATTAAATGAGTTAAACATCTAAATTTAAAAGAGTGTGACGTTAAAATATTGTGATGTAATTACCGAAAAGGTCTATTGTACATGTTCGTCTGAACACCCAACTTTGACAAATTCTTCTATGATAAGTACACTTGTTCAAGACTATCATTATAATTGATTTTAAACAAGTATACATGTCATAGAAAAAATTGTCCAAGTACAAATTGCATGATTTTGATCATGGCTCGACGTAGTTTTACAGCGCAAGTTTCATGTTGTTGTTGCGTGTCGTAAGTTCAACCTGGAATTTTAAAGTTAATACAGTCGGCTTTCGTATCTACTACAGTTGTGGGCAATTGCTGGCAATGGCCTTCTTCGAGGGCCTTCCCGTTTGTGCCCTTAACACAAAGCTAACAATTTGAACCATCTGCTATGATAATCTCACCGTCAAATCTCCTGCTTCGTAAAGCCCTGCTTCCACGGGCGAAATCTTTCAGCAAAATATTTCACCTGTTTCTTTTGAATTGTGAGCAATCATGCAGAATAAATATATTCAAGTGGTTACAATTCAAAAGAAACAGGCAAAATATTTCGCATTTCGCCAAGAAAAAGCGCTCGTGGAGTCGCGCCCAAACGTTTGCATCCAACACCAGGTGATTTAGTAGTTGGTTACTAATTCGTTCATAACTAACATTCGAAACGGTCGTTTGAAGCCTTCAATTCATTTGAAGTTACCTGTTGCACGCAGTATATGTTGCACGATTTAGGATGAAACTTGCATGTCCATAGCTCCCATGCCCACACGTTCACACAACACCACTGACGATTGCTCCGTTAATAACATGACAAAACTCAAAAAGTGTTTCACAAAATTTGGCGGATTTCACAAATTTCACAATGAATGACAAGAATAACGAGCAAAACTGTAATGACCAGCATTTGAATAACGTCCAGGTAACTCGGCCAATTACAGCGTAGTATCTCATGATAAGTGGTTTATATTCCATGGATGCACTACATGTACCAATGACTGCATGTGGATTCGTTACTATACAGGGTGTCCCAAAATATCCAAAACTTTTGAAATGACCTTTTGATGAAATTTCAATGATGACTTGCTCCCGGCTGGGGCTGGTTGTATGAATGCCAGTATATTTAATATTTTAGTCGCTAATCGCTCTAAAATATCCCGTTGTTAAGTATAACTTTAATTGAATCTCAGTATTCCTAAATTGAGGATTCTCTTTAACAATTGTTGGATCCAAAGCCGAAATTTTATTGTTGACTCCTTTTCCCATCAACTGTTCCTGGCTTGAATTTGAAGTGTGTATAATTCCACTCGAAATTACGACCCTTTGAACCTCTACAATTTACCTGCATCGAGTGAAGTGTCAAAAATCATAATTGATTAACCTCACCTATACCACCATATACTCATTAACCAGGGCCCCCCAATTAAGAGCGATATGAACTCCCGCATTCACGCCCCAAAATAATGGAAATAACGCGTCAAGCAAAACAGAAGGTAAATTTCACGTTCACGCTGAGGCTTAAAGAGAGCATGCCTGAATGAATTCGACAAAAAAAATGACAACGTCAAACATAAAAAGAAAGTCTTAAACAGTCCAACAAACGCTTTTGAGATCTTTTCTGTGGGATCTAGCGATTTTTTGCGCAGCCTGGATCACGTGATTTCGCAAAAGAATTGATGAAATCCCGCCAAGATTTAAACATTCCCGGCTCTCGCTAATAACCGAAAATAATTTGATCCCGCGATAACGACCGAAATGACAGCCATGCATTCACACTTCACGTAAAAATCATAGGGGGCCCTAACCACTCTTGCTCTTGCCCTAATCGCGCAGCGGCAATAGCATTGCACTGGCATCGAAAAAGCGTAGGTTCGATTCTTGCCGAATGACCGATAGTTGACTCATGTTCGTGGCTTGAATCTGAAGTGTGTATAATTCCACTCGAAATTAAGACCCTTTGAACGACTTAAAATTCGTATATGTTCGCTTCCATTCAATTACAAAAAATCGTAGGCCCCTAGCCGTGACGCCAGCATGGAATACGGCATAGTAGTCACGGCGAAAAATTCAAACTTCAAAATTTTCCGCCGTGACTACAAGGCCAGAATTCCCTGCAGGTGCCACGGCTTGTCACGTCATTATGCATAAGGTCTATCATTAGGTTTGCAGTTTTTTTTATACATCCTGTTCATGTAGTATGAGAATATTAGAATCCCCCCCGTATCGATTTACTGCAAAGTTCTTGATTCATTCGCCGATGAAATAGCCAACGTTTAGAGGCTTGGGTAAAGAAACACAAATAGAATATTTTGATCACATTGAGATCTAACCTGCAAATTATAATAAAATATGGATACATGTTGATGCATGCAGTGTATAATACTCAAAAAAGAATGTTTATTATATGGGCCATATAGTACAGTTTATAGTCTATGCATGGCTTTAGTATATAGTTTATGCACGTTAGTATAATTATTCAGTCTATATACATGCACGCGTTAGTATAGTTTATGTACTTGTATTCGTAGTTCCAAGATTATATGTAGCTAGGTAAGTTTAGATCTCACTATAAAGTCTGAAATCTGAAACTCCACAGGACTTCTTGCTTTACTTTAATTTTGCTAATTTGTTTGACCAGATATTTTTTGAAAAAGGGCATTATCAAATCCCAATACTTTCTCACTTGGGTTCCCATTCGAGTCATCACGGCTGCAGTGAAAATAGTCATCCACATCCTTCAGTGACATTGGATTCTCATAATGATGATCGGATGAATCGTCATATACAGCATTTGAAAAAGACGAAACGGTGCCAGGATTGTCTTCCGCTTTAAACTAATTAATAAAAAAATATTCTGATGCAGCGCAAAACTGATTGTACGCGATTATTGATATCCTTGCATTGATGCGAGCTACATATTAGAGGTACATATTAGAGGAGGAGTGTGACACCTCATTTTCTGGTGAAATTATTTACGCTATACTCCGTCCTAAATTATTTATCAGTATAGAGGTTGTTCAAGTGTAGATCCACTCCAATTTTCTCAAGAGTACGTATATACACAATGGCGTCGCTAGGGGGGGAACTGGGGGGACTCGCCCCCCCCCCCAGTTACTCTCAAGTCACTTTTGAGATTTTTCCAAATCTGAAGAGAAAAGTGAAGGGGGGGTACAATGATTCTAATTTCCAACAGCCGTGTAAATAAAGAAATTTTCGAATTAACATTACTTTTGATCACATAAAGAATAACATTAGAATAACATATCAGCATAGAAAAAGACATTGCTGATAAGATTGAGTTGGATACTCTTGTTGACACATTTAGATTACGGCTAACAACAGAAAGTTGCCCTTGTGAAAATTGTTTGTCTCTAGCAAAAATCGCCGATCTCTGGCTTTCAGATTGTCATAAAACCTGCCTGAAAATGTTGGAAATAGCGTTTTAGAGACCCTAGAAATAAAAACCCGGCCGCTAGAGGTCTTGCGCCTTTAGTGTTTACATCGTCCCCCCAGTCTGAACAACCTGGCGACGCCACTGTATATACATACATCGAATAAATAGCTTCCACTTGTGTACTAAACAGCAATTCATCACACGTTATAACCGCCAACTTCTATTAATGTCTATTAGGCGACTAAATGAAAAATAAACGCACCTGTTCGATTATTTTTCGGTTTCCCTTTGTTGTAAGCAAACGTCTCCTCCGTATAACGAAAATGGCAATGCCTATTGTAAATAATCGTAAATAAACATTTTAGGCTGGGATTGTGTTGTTCCAGTGATATATGATATTAAAAATTACCCAATGAATGGATTCATAGAGTGTTGATAGCAAACTGATATATTTTCCCCATGCAGGCATCGCCGGTGAGCGAGGGCAAAAATGCGGGATGCTCTGTAATATGAGATATTGACCATTAGGAGGCTGCATGGGTTTTTCAGTTCATTAATATTTTGAAAGAACATTCTTAGTTATTTTGATATAACAACTGAAAGTTTGTAGTTTAATTGGTCGGAAAAGATTTTTTGTGTCGGAGCGCGACCGGTTTATTCGTACTTCATGTAAAATAACAATTAATGATTATAATAACTTTATTTAACAAATCGGAGCTTGTGAAAAATTATTTGAAATTATTAAGCATTCGTAAATAAACATGAATAATTAAATTTCAATATATAGAAAAACGTTTTTGATCCAGCATGCACAATGAGTTTAGATTCGCAGCTCAACCTTTATTTTATACAAGCTTAAAATGTGGAATGAGGAAAAACACAAGAGTAATTCAAATTTATAAAACCTATATTTTTCTCAATTTTACACGTATATATGATTACCGTTTGAGTGATAATTAGATACCTTTTCATGAACCAGATGTTGGCAACTCAAGTGCCCGTCGAATTTTTAAAATATATGTTTGGCTGCCAGGACATTGTTGTATAATATGAAGATTATTTTAGACAATTTGCGATCTTTACGTTAAATATGCATGTTAAGGAGTTGAATATATTTATATAACATTACCTATAGCAACGAGAACGAGGATAATAAGGCCAACTGACAAACCAATAGTCAATGACTGGAATTTTTCGTCGTCATCGCTGACGGTCTTATCAAAAGCTTTTGGTGTAGCATCCCTCGTTATGGCATCCTTTATTGTAGAACCTTCTGTTTTCTTTCTCGTTGTTGCGCCTGTTGTTGGTAATTCAATTTCTTCTATGGATGTAGAAGAAGCAGAAATGTATAAAATGTGAAAGTTAGCATTATTGACTAAATCCTTGTCTTGGTAAAAATAGCTTATTGTCAGTCTGTCAGAAATAGCTTATGTTAGTTCTGACAATAAATAAAGTTTCGTATACGAAGTATTTTAAAATGCAGAAAATATAGCCAAAATTTTTGCACGTATACTTAAATGTTGCTCAAAGAAATTGTTACCCCATTTAGGCAGAAAATAGTAACAATTTACGCGCGTCTGGATACTGCGTGCTGTTTTAGAAATGATTGATGGTCACATCAGGGACGTAGCCAGGGGGGGAGCCGTGGGAGCCGCGGTTCACCCCCCCCCCTTTGGTGATATTTTCATTTTGTGCCCATACAGTAAGTTCCAGTGTTACAAACTAAATAAATTTATTAAGAAATAAAAATTAAGGGTCCTTTCAGCATAAGTTTTTATTGCCTAATCAGCTTGACCAATTGTTCTTTAGAAAATTGAATTAAAGTGATCGAAAAAAGTGCTTGTAATGATAAAATCAAAAATGTTACCCAGTTTATAGGAAAAATATCAAAATGAAACAAAAAATCAGAATGTTCATATTAAATGACGTTTCATCTTGCGTTTGCAGCCGCCGATGACCGTTTAGAGCGAGGGTACACATAACGTACGTTTCACGTTTTGTTTTCTTGTTACCGAATTTTTAACAATGATAAATATTGAGTAATTGCCACTGGTATTTACCCATATATAATTCGCTTATGGCTGCACTTTGCGACATACAACCGGGATAAAACCCAACTTCCTTCAGTCCAGCCTTGAAGCCTCCCCCCTTTCACAGTTCTGGCTACGTCCCTGGGTCACATGCATGCAATAGTAGTTTTGTTCAGAGTTGATATACGCATACCCATTAAACATTGTCTTAGGTCTGATGCTCCTTCACTTTTCGTGACGTGATTTTCAGGACATCTTATACATCGAAGTTCTCCTTCGCGTGGCTGGTACTCGTTCTTGGGACATGGAAAGCATAACCCAATTCCTTTATTCACAAGACCATAGTGACCGGCGTCACAAATTACTGGGATAAATATAAACATGAAATTTTGTTCAGAGTAAGTCAGTTACTAAATAAGACATTCCAAAATAATACATGTATACAGTGGAATCAATGAACGTTTATGTACTTTTAGCAAATTAGTTTGAAGATCGCATCTTGTCATTTAGAATTCCTACGCTTGCTAAATTTACCCAATCACATAATCAAATACCTTTGCATTGAGAATGCTCATATGATCCTTCGTTCCAGGTACTAAATCCTTTCGGACATTCATTACAAGACATCTTTCCAGATTCTGCTTGATAGAAGCCCAACGGACAAGGTATGCATGATGTTATCTCTTCGTCATTACGATTAGCATGATATCCCGGCGGGCAATCGACTAGAAATGATGGTAATAGCTTTTATTCATCACACGAAGAAGATTTTCACAAAGCCATGTCTTTATAGAACGGTTAATCTAAATAACGGTTACTGGCTTGTCTCGTTTTTATGAAACTGCAACAAACTGAGAGTGTTCATTTCCGCTCTCTTGTATTTTGTGCATACGTCACGTATACATGTGTTGCTGAGCGAATGATTGTAAAAGTGATGAATGGTAAAAGTGGTTATTTGTTCGAATATTACGGCATAAAAATACGCTTATGTACATCTTACCACATTTAAAATCATTTTGAACCAGAACTTGAGACCTCGGGCACACCAATGAAAATTTACGAACAGCCATGCTATTTTTCTCAGCGAAGTACACATTGTCAGCCGTTGAGAAAGACAGAGAACCATTGTTTGTTGCACTAATTAACTTCTTCATTTCTTCGTGTAATTCCTGAGAAGCATTAATAACCTTTTCAGCATTGAGTTTGAAATCGTCCTCAATTGTAACGTTCGAAGTCATATTTTTACCAATGTACTGAAATGTCCAAGAGCATATCCCGAAAACACCTTCCGTATTATTCTTGGAGTCTCTCAACTTACAGCTAAATGGTTGCAAATTTTGTAGGCTAAAACCTTCAGCAGAGAATCCGAGGGAAAACATCTTACTAATAATTAAATGTTTAATCTGTTCATAACCTGTGGAATTTGAAGATTTTGCACTTGAATTTCCTCGATGGGTTTCTTGAATCAATAAAAATGACAGAACTGCGGATGGTACAGGAAGTGTAAACGACAGTGCTTTGACAAAACTTACGCGCGACGATGATACACCGTACGAGTTGGAAACTCGACAGAAATACCAGCCTTCGTGCTCGCGTTTCATTGGTGAAAATCCGAGATAAGAGTGGGATTTGTTATACAACTTTTGAAATGTAGAAGAATTAGCAGGTTTGAACCACCATTCATGATGGACAATCTCGATATTTTCATCAACTTTACATTGTAAATCATCATCCTCGCCCATTACAACTGCTAAATATCCTTCTGGTTGGTCGGTAATTATTGGAGGTGGATGGATTGTAACAACCGCAGGTGTTGATCTTTCTTTCGCTATATGGTTGGATACGAAGCAAGTATAATTGCCACTGTTCGATATAGTTGTATTTTCAATAATCAGCACCTTGGACGATTGATCTGGAATAACATCCCCGTTAAACGCCCAAGAATATATTAGGGCCGTTCCAGTAGCGTTGCAATGCAACACCAAATCTTTTCCAAGCTTTAAATCAATAACAGGGTTCGGATGTCTTGTGATATTAGGAGATTGAGCGCAAACGTCTTCGAGTTCATTCATTTCATTCAGGATGTTTAAGATCCTTGACGACACATCTAATGCCACGTCAATAGAGATATCGAAAGAGTTTACTAAATCATCAAGCGAAGACTTAAGATCCTGGAGTCGCAGCTGAATGCGACCTGCCCTCTCGGTTTCAACAACAGAGAACATTTGAACTAAACTATCAAGAATGTGTATCATACAGTCCTTCATCCCACTACACTCATAATGTAAGCGTGAAGAATTAAACATGTTTTCCATAGCAGCAAACCAGTTTTGTACGAGTAGTTTCTTCGTAGTATTAAAATCCTCATAATTTTGTCGCTTTTCTTCTAATTCAAGCTCAAGTGCTTCGGACATCTCAGGATCATCCAAGGTAAGGTTAGAGGACGCTGTTTGATTCAAAGCAAACTTGGATATTGTTTGCAGTTTGGTCGAATTAAAACTTGTCTTCTCGATTTGGGAAAATTCCTTTTCAACAGACACGATTTCTGAAGACAAATTGTAAAGTGATATGGCAACGTTATATAATATTGTGTGGTAACTTCTGAAGTTCGCGCAGTATGTGTGGAATTTTTTAAGAGAATGAAGCAAGGGGTCTGGTTTATATGTAGGAATGTCCACCGAACGTTTTCTTCTTGAGTGGCTGTAAATATTTCCAATAGCATCAAACAAAATTTCTTCAGATATGCTTCTTAGAGATATGTTGAGTTGAGAAAAATCAAACACAGTTGATATTCTTCGCTGGGTTTCGTTCGCGTGATATGTAATCTCAATCGGCAACAGCTTACTGTTATCTTTAGGAAAGACTTTCGTCTCAAAGCGCACTTCCTTTAACTTTATTCCATCAAGTGAACCCAATTTTTCGTTGAAAAGTGACTTTATTTTAAGAGGTGTGGACAACAGCCTATAAAGATTCTCTTTGGACTTGATTGTTCTGTTATACGCTCTTTTAAGGTGTTTAGCAGTAGTTTCTGTCCTATTAAACCATCGTTGCTCTTTTACCAGAAGTCTGTGTTGTCTCTGCTTTTTCATATTCCAAAAAGAAAGATTTGACTTCGCATACTCCATATTTTGCAGTATCTTTATTCCCTCCGATCGCGTGTTGGATAATTTCTCTAAAGCATCCAATCTTGCATTCTTACAAAGGACATTCTCCGCAACACAAGTAATGTTCACAACGAAGGAAGCACAGGATGCGTTTTTGCAACAACTCTTTTCGATCCTGCTAGAAATCTTCTCAACAACGCATGATTTTCTGCATGAATACGGAGTATGTGTGTATTCGTACTCGTATCTTCCTTTTAGGCATTGTACTTGGTGGACCTTGCATTTCCAACGTCCATCCTTTTGTTTTCTTTGGCAGGTTACAAAACTTTTAACACCAGCTCCAGTAGACAAACTCTTTTCACCTATGGCTCTAGCGGCAGCTCCACGTATTGAGGCGCAGACTGCTTCATCCAATCTTCCTGTATCCAGAAATGTTGTGATACCATCTCCGATAGCACTGGCAAGGGGCGGTGGCGCTCCAAACGCGGAAGCTACAAAAGCTATGCCAAGCGAAACGGCTCCTTTTATGATTCCGCCAAATGTCTTTCCAAATAATCTTTTGAAAAATCCATTTGTGCTATGGATTCTTGTGCACTTTTCTCTACTGCAATATGCTACCTCGGAGAAAGGTGGAACGAGTCGCTGCTTCGTTCGGGAACAAGTTGCTGGGCACGTTCCCATAGAATCTCCAATGATATATTCGTAGCATGTGGTACAGGATATGCCATCGTGACAAATACTTGGGCACTGTTTTATTTCGCACATACCATCTAAATCTGATTTTAGTTGATGAAGTTCATCCGAATAATTCCTTGCATGAATTTCGAAGGATTTTAAACGGATTTGGGCGGCTCTTAATTTTTCCGATACCGACGCGTACTCGCTGCTTAGTTGCTGTAACCTTTTCAGTGCTATTGCCTTTAATGACAATACTTTAACTAATCTAGCATGTGCTTGTTTCACGGTTTCATTGACTGCTTCTATACGTTTTGAGGCCTGGGATATAACGTTTTTCGCAAATGAAGCAAGTTCTTTCCTTAACGCACTTGCGAAATCGGTTCCATCTTCCTTTCTTTCAAACCGACCCTCAACATCGAAGATCTGATTTTCCCAAGGTACAAGTGTGGAGGAGCAATCCATACTCGCATCGAATAATCCATGCAATTTACCACTAGTTTTAAACTTTAATCCTTCGTGCGAAATGCTCACATTCAACAACTTCTCCACGCCTAAAATGTTAGAAGTAGCACAGAACGATCCTGCAAAGTTTGAGGAATGTTGCGAAAACGCAAATCGAACATCCATGCAAATATCTCGGTGGCGTTTAAATATGCCAAATGTTGCAATTTTTGATTCGGCGTACGTTCCAATGAGTTCAACACTATTGTCTGCTTTGATATCATTACCAAGTGATCTGCCCATACGAAGATTTACCCGCATTGACTGAAATTGTAAGTCACCGGCTTTTAAGATGCCGTTAAAGACACAACTAAGACCGTCAGAGATCTCTGTATGATGAAAATGACGATTCTCCTTATATAGGAGTGTGTCAAGAAAACATGAGATTGTTCTATTAGAACTCATATACAAATATCGCTCCAAAGATGTATTAAAAAAGGGATCTTTTTCCATAATCGTGTTGAGAAAAAATCCTCTTTTTCCACGATGCGTTTCATTTTCGATCTCGTCTAAAGAAATATAAGAAAATTAGTACAATGTTCGCTCTAAAATCTGCATGTATTCCAAAAGCGTACTGATATTCATTTTGGGTGCCAAATCTTAAAAAAGCAAAAGATTTAAGGTATAAGAATTGAAAGTCAAATTCTTATAAAAAAGTGCCGTTATGGAATCGTTACAAGGTGATTACAATTTACGATCCCTTACTAAATAAGTTTACTGAAAAAGTTAACCTGCGTTAAAAAGTTACGGAAAACGAGAACGAACGAATATGCAAGTATGCTAATGTTTTCATTGAAATTATGAAAAGCTTATTGGTTTGCATATGTATACGAATAGATGAAAGCGACGAACGAATTAAAGACAACACTCAAGAGTCGCCTGCCAGTACTGGACATGTCTTCAACCGTATTGTAATGCTGTCGTTGCGCTGATAGGAAAATACATCTTGGCTCATTCAGTCAGGGATGCATGGCAGAAGATAGTCTTAACTTATCTGAAGGCCGTAAAGAAGATATGCACAGAGACAAGTGATTGAACTGGGTGTTAGACATGCGATGGGAATACGCAATACACATGCACGTAAAAATCTCATTTCTTGTCAACAAGTTGTGATCGCAACAAGGTTGTAGCAAGTTTGTCAACAACGCATAACAATTACGCATGCAGTTTTTTGTCAAGTTGTAGCAAGCTTGTTACTAATAAGTCGTTGGGAAGTTCATGATTTGCAGATTGATATCAAGTTGTTGGAACAATTTGCAACAGAACTAAGATGGCTGTAGAAATTATCAAGCCTGTAACAAGTCTGGTGCAAGTCATGAAGTATTTCATACCGTTTAGAACACTGGTAGTGTTTCACAATAACTGCAAACGTCTAAAGTAATGTAATTTCATCACATTTACGCCAAGTGCGTCGCTCCCGTGAAATTCCCTGTATATACAATTTAGTTGTTTGACTTATTCCACAGTTTTGGAAACTACCATTACAGTTCATCAATCGTCGTCACCCTGTTATATGCATGGTAATATTTATCACCATATACACGATATCACAGCACAAAATTAGATGACCAAAATATGCATATTATGGCTTAAGGTTTACAAACGAATATGATAATTAAACTTGTTTTAGCCAATATAGAAACCATCTATATGATCGATTGTGAACCGTACTCTCGTTCAGTTAATGAGGCTAGTCGTTCGTTCTCGTTCTACAGTGCACAACTAGTGCGAGTATCGTATTGTATCCTAACACCAAAAAGAGTGTTTCTTCGACAGGAAATTTTATTTTCTGATTTCATTAAAGCAGAAAATGGCAAAAGAACGCAGTAGTGAGAAATCACGAAGTACTGTAACTTTTATATTTTGGTAAATGGTTTAAAGTAATGAAACAAATTCTCAAAGTTTCCCTTGCAATATCTTAGCATAAATTATGTGGAAGATATTGCAACATACAGTATAAAAAGATATATTGCTGTGCCTGCTTGCCCCCAACAGGGCAGTGGAAGTAGATTCCTCTACTGCCTCCGTGGCCCCAGGGAGAAGGACATGATGATGCAGCTGGATATTTACCTCCGAAAATAGCATAGTTAACTGATTTCTCTCCTTTGAAACGAAGGTTGACAGCTTTTCCTTCTATTTTGAACATGATCAAGAAGACGATGCTTCCGTATAGGTCAACATCCCAACGCTGATATAAGGGGTAGTCTAAAATCTGAATCAACATCATTTAATTTAGCATACAGTAAGATCAAATCCACGTGTCATTCGTTTAGTTGCATCAATGCATGTATGATAAAGTGAAAAACGTTCACGCAGAAAGCATATAATTACGAGGTGCCTTCAGTTTACCACGATATTTCAATCATGCGAAAATTTGATTGCCCTTTGCCTATAGATTGCTCAGTGCACTTAACTTTTTTGAACAGTAATTATATATAGCATAGTCTCAAGCAAAAAATTAAGATTCAATGGTGGATGTATCATGTATGCTACAAGTCGTGGTAGCAAAGGGCACAGGGGCTGTCTCCCATTCGTCTCGTAAGCAAAAAGCAGTGGGGGCAGCTACCCCCGTGGTTCTGGCGCCCCTGGAGATAACTTCGATATTTCTATTTCAAAAAGAAATGTTAATTTTGTGATGTTTTCTTTTTATATTATGAAAATGACGTATGGGCGGCGTTTTCACGGATGATCGCCACAAGAATATGGAACACGGCTTTTCAAATAATAGTTATGTACAAAGGAGAATATTCAAACCTCATCGATATTTTTGACATGAGCAATGATAGTTCCATCGAATTCCAATCTTATGTCATCGGCGAAAGTTGTATTTTTGAAATGTTTCTTGAGCGATATTACCGCTGCAAAGGAGCCGTCTGACGAAGATTTCACGTTGAAGAATTCAACACCGTCCCAAAAACCGTTCTTTTCCGGCCTTTTTATCGCATTTTTTCTGGAAAGTTGAACAGAATAAAATTTAAAATTCCATCCATATCTTTTCATTTGTCTTAAAGTTGTTATGTCTTTGATGACGTTTCTTTCAGAAGTAGAACTTAAGAGGACATCCGACTGTTCTGGTCGACTAAGTTCAACGGCTAACCCGACTGACTTAGAGTTGAAAATATCACTATCATTTTGCACAGTTATGTTCAGATTGTTTGTCGAAAGCATGGAATAAAAGGATTCGTCGACTACCGGTAGACCTTTCCCAATGCTTGCCTTGCGCATATTGATTCCATTTAAGAAGTGCGTCTTCTTTTCCGAGGAGTAAATCGTTTTAACTGAATTTGACTCGCTCAACGTAACTTTCATCCACGATGGCAAGCTATTTTCTGCAGCATTGATGAAAGATTTAGCCAGAACACGTGATCTCAAAAGTGGTCCAATACTATAGGGGAAAACATTGCTGTCTATGCAGTTGATTGGATGGGAAATTATGCCTACGTTTGGTAAATTCACACCGACGACTGATAAGGGAAATTTGCTAGAGTTATTGGTCTCAATACCGACGACACCTTCCGTCACAGACACTGATCCAAAAGGAACGAAAGGAGTTGTTGAAGATATCATAATGGAAACGTTTGATCCAGGAACAACCTTGACTTGTTTTTTGTAACATCCAATTGGAAATTTTTCTATCGTGTTTCTTACTTTCAAATCATCGGTTACACTTTTGTGCGAGTACACAAACAGAACATCTTCTTTAGGCAGAGCATATTCTCCCGCACTTGGACCAGACAACGAATACGCGATAAAGTAAACGCCTATTTGTCTAGCTTTCACCCTAATTGTTTGATTCAATGAACTATTCCGATCAAAGACAAGCACCGAAGGGCTGAACTCTAGATTCCGATTCATTGGATGCAGTAGGACTTTGTTTGCCGGTTGTGACGCAATTATCGTTGTAGGTGGTGAAAGAACATATGGGTATATCGTAGGGTAGTCGAAAATGGTAAAGAAACCGACTTCACAGTTGCTTCCTTTGTATCCCGTGTGGGAACAGTCACACGTATATGAGGTTTCGTCGACTATGGAACAATTGCCGCCATGAAGGCAAGGATTTGGTTGACAAATTTCAATTGCTGAAAAATAGTATTTTTGCACATTAATAAATGAATAACTTGTAATATGTTTTTATACTTAACAATTTCGCCGCAAGCAGAAGGATCCTCTGCATCCTCTGTTGCAAAAATGAAATTTCAGATTTTTAACAGAAAGCACTCAGCCTTCGAGAGTGAAATACTCTCTATAAAGGTAGCTAATCCTCATTATATTATCTTAAAATTGCTATGGTAACTGGTTTAATTTGACAAGTTATTACACTTTCGATTGCCTGCCGCCCGTTAAATGTTATGGCGATCGAGAATTTAAGTCAGAGGAAACTAATCTACAATACCTTTGCACGAAACGTTCCTAGGTTGCCAAAGAGCGCTTTCATCACAATTAATCTTGTCGGAGTCCATATAATATCCATCATTACACCCAAGTGAACATTGTGAACCAAAATGAGTGGCGCATGGGGAGTACACGAAACCATTCGCAGGCTCTTTTGGGTATGCGCAATGAATTACTGCAATTGAGAAATTGAGAATTCCAATTTAAATATACTGTCAAAAATTTTGAAATTAAACGAGACTTACCTGTAAGTTGAAGTCAGAAGATTATTCCTCCAAATCACGATAGGGTTAACATGAGATGCGCGCGCATTGTCGTGAATCAGTCCTTTAAAGTATACGATTTGGGGGTCGCATCAAAACATTTTCTAGTAACGATAGACTTGGTACTACGGGCAGTAAAACTGGTGTCTATCCCCGCCTGGGTGAGAACTGTCTTAACTTAACGACCGAGTGTGGATGTCGTGACTTTACATACGATAACACCAAACTAGTTGAGATCCTACGGAAAAGACGCAGTCAATTGCAGATAAAACTACAGTGTTTCATGTACACACAACTCCTTCACTGAATAACTGTATAACGTAACAGTATGCCAAGCCCATTGCCTGGCCTGTCTTGTTTGACATCAACAGAAAATTGAAACACTTCTCACTCTGTTTCATATACTCGTCGGAAACATCAATAAAGGTCTGGCATCGCTGTTCGGTTGTCAACAGAATTAACGTAACCAACTTATGTGTTCGTTCCTTCCGAGTAAGTTGCTCCAACGTCAACACAAGCGAAGAAAATCAAGCACTTTATCAACAGGCCAATCGATACGGTATTTTGGTACAGGTTTCTGCTTATTAAATATCCCCTTGACATATCTACACTCCAACGGATAGTTACCAACAGAACCCCCATAGAATATTTATAATTTACGACAGTGGTATATTGTCTGACATAATCCTAACATGGGTATTACTCTGATCAGGCAAAAGAGATATTAAAGATAACTTAAGGGATGACGTGACATCTCTAAAACATTAATATGCAAAGATGCTTCATCCCTAGACCATATACCCTTGGTACAAATTCCATTCTCGAACGTAGCCCCCCAACCTACTTGTGAGGCGTCAGCAAAAATCACTATATCCGGAGACCATGGCGAATCCGCCACTGCAGATCGTGAAGACTATCTTCCGACAAAGACATTTTTGCTTCAAAATTTCCATTATTTTCGTTACAGGCCTGTATTTTATCCCGTTCTCTAGACCGATAATGAAGCCGACCATATTTAACACCAGGAAAACTAGAAATTAACGTTACAACTAGAGACGATACTTCGTGAATGGTAGAGATGGCGGCTTTTTTACAAAACCGCAAACACAAATCCAAAATTTTCTGGACTTTCCTTTCAGTTAATTTGACAATCATAAGAATAGAATTTCTGGAATTTCTGAAATTCCAGAAAAATATATTTCTGGAATTCAATAACCTGTGTTGGAACAATAACAGACTTATCTGGATGAATCATAAATCCTAGAGAAATTAATAACTGAACTGCGTGTAAAGTGGTTTGTTCACATTCGGTGTAACTACCTTCCGAACAAAGCGGATCATCAATAAAATCCAGACACGAAACCAAACTCCTGGTCTACAAAGGTTTTAAACGCTTTGCTATCACCAGTCGTCTCCATTTGCCTCTATGAAACGTTTGCCTTAGCGAAACTCCTCCTTTGCTCAGTTGGGGTTGGCTCAATATCATCGCCAACTCCAGTGTTCACTGACACACCCATCATTGCTCAAAGTCATTATAAACTTGAGCTATTGCCCCATCAACATGAGTAAACAATTCGCTCTTCAAACCAAACATCATCTCAGACATTGAACTCGATTTGTCATCACCTAGCTCGAGAATATCGTTATCCGTATAGACGTTTTGACACGTATGAGTATATTTGCAGAAGTAAATCACTAGGCGTGACGAGAAAACTAACGCAGAAACAAAGCAAACCAAGACACGTCTTGGCAAGTCACACAGCTCGAGTTCAGCAATTCATATCTTAGTGCCCTGGCACGTCACAAAACACAATTTGCGGAAGTTCTAATGGAGAAACTCGTCCAAAAAAATCAGCTGCAAGCTATTGGTAACACACAATACTTACCAATAACCTTGGGGCAAGATACACATGTTACACACATGTTACAAGTAAACTTACTTTTACATTCTGTATCGTTCCCGGTCCATAGTTTGTTTGGGCCGCATGTTCTCCTCGTGGACCCAGTTAAATCGTAGCCACGTAGACAATCAAAATTACATCGATCGTCAGTCCGGTAGCCAGTGCAATTCTTCATTCCATTAACCGGAGTGTTTATTGGAAAACATGGTTGACCTAGCAAAACATTAAATTTGATTGGATGAAAACATTAAGCAATAATTTATATGCCAAAAAATAATAATAGCTATACCTCTTTTAATAGCTATGCTTTCTTTAGGTGGCGTTTGTTTAACGCCTAGAGTTAGATTTATACTTAATATAAATGCCTAGTTTTAATACTTGGCTGAGAGGATAATTTTTTCGAAATTTTTTCTGGTTTAATACAGAAAAATGTTCAGGGCTCCCGAGCTTTTCGAAATTAGTACATATATTGGTACAATTGCTGCAAAGAACTGATATACTAAATTCGAAAATTTAATTTTAAGAATTATGAAAGATCAATTTTATGCCTATGCATAGCTATGTCAAGACCGTGAGATTTCATTTCATTTGAATAAATTCTGTTCTTTAGCTGAAAGACGTTATACTGACATTATACCTATGCAGCTTTTCCCATCTAGATGTAGAGAAAAGCCAGCTCTGCAAGAACATTGGTAGCTTCCGGGGATGTTTGAGCATATGTGATGGCAGTAGTCCACCGGTTTTGAACACTCGTCGACATCTACAATAGAATGTAATTAAGAAAGCAAGGTTAAATATTCTAGAGACGTGTAATCCATCAAAATAATATACATTATTGCCTCTGTTGACCCTTCTAATTTTTTTAATAAAATATATTAATCGTTCGTTAAAATAACATCTGAAAATTAATAAACCCATTGTTATGGGTCTCCGCGAGATATGTTTCCATGAAAAGACAATTTCCGAGAAGAGGCAATTAGTTAATATTTGCATGACGAAGCAATCAGCTAATTGGCTGGAAACAACCTATTGAAACCTCTGCTACTTAAAAAATGTAAAAAAAAACAAGAAGACCAAAGAACACGAACATCATGATTATATATGTTATATTCATCGAAAAGATCCGAAACAACCTTGCGTACAAAAATGAAAACATTTGATAACAGCGCTCTTGGACATTGACGCGGTCAAAATTTTTAAAACATTTGTTGACAGCCTGATAAAACGTCTACAGTGTGCATTAAAAAGGAAAAGTAAGTTCAGAAATATATCAGAATTTGTGTGATCAAATTTGGGCGGATTTTAAAATTGTGAATATAAATCGAATACACAGTATAGAATATATGGCTTACCAATGCAAGACATTTTATCGATTCCAAGTTTGTAGCCTTTTCTACACGAACAATTGAAGCCACCAATTGTGTTTGTACAATCTTGAGCACACCCAGATATGTTTTCTGAACATTCATTTATATCTGTAAAAAGAAAATTAGATTATATCCATTGTTCTCTCTATAATTATTATATCAAGTATCATTGCTATCGAAACACGGAGGGTTAAAAAAACTGTCTACCGAAATCACTTCTAATCATGGCCTCAGTTGAAATAAACTGTCGTAATTAATAATTTCTAACATAGAATTTCATTCCCTTCTATCGCACTACTGGATTCGACACAGTGATTAAGGTGACTTGCAGTTTTTCATGCACCCTATATATTGATTTCATAAATGTGTCAATGATGTTCATGTCTATACAGGGTGTATAAAAAAGGTAATCCAATTTCAACGCGCTATTGTACCGGAACTACTCAGTCTAAGAATGAATTTTTTACACATACGAAAAGACTTTTTAGCTATCGAATGATAGTTTTCATAACCAAATGTTTGTAAGGCCTAGATTATACGTCGCATTTTAGTCGCGTCGATTGCAATTCAAACAATAGATAATGAGATGCATGGTAATGAAGCTTAGTGAGGTAATCAGCTCATTATCTATTGTTCGAAATTCGAATTGCATTCGACGCTTAATGAAAAGGGAGGCTAAATATATTTATAGATAGGGACGGTTTAATTGCCAATTTTTAAAACTGCAAGGACACAACTACGCTATACAAAAAGATTTGGGAACATGTAAGTTGGCATACGTATAGGAAACAAAAAAGGCGCCTTCGATTTTAAAATAGTATTTACAGCTACATTAGCTTGATTGATAGCTTCTCTAAAAAGGTATTTTTCATTACAAAAAAAGCACTTTTGGTCCTTTGAGAAATATTAATTCTTGCCCACGATGTAATTTGAAAATTACCATCACATGTCTTCGAATCTCCGGTATTCAGTCTAAATCCATTTGAGCAAGCACACTGGAACTTTCCAGGCAGGTTCATACAAATTTGCTCACAGTCATGCCCAGCAGTCTTGCACTCATCATGGTCTATAACAATATAAATGTTGACTCAAATACGTATTTTTTCCCCAGGATCGATGGACCCTGCTTATATATAGTCAATGTGTTTTACGATGTTTTTACTTCGTTTCGAACTATTCAATCCTGCAGAAATTCAAGTCTAAAAATGGAAAAAATGGCCTACAATCTACATCTGATACAGTAAAATTTCCGTTGTATACTAAACATATTGGAAACTAAACATATACCCAGCGGCTAATATTAGTCACAGACGGAATCTATTCTGAAACCGGAAAAACCTTTAGCGCCACTAACATATTCTGTCGTTTACCCAAGTCATTGGCTAGAAACCAGAACACGGGAATTTGGGGGCAGCCCCTTACCGCTTACACGAAAAAGAGGAAAATATGCCTCTTCTATTAAAAATATACTGTAAAAAATTGCTTCAGACAACGCTAGGAATAGCACATTCTATTGGTGAAACCCCTTTTGAAAGACTTCCATAGTAAAGCGCCATTATAGAAGGCACGCCCTTTCCGTAAAGTCCGCTGTTTGAAGACTCATTTTTGAACGTTTTTCTT